CCTGAGGGAGGAAGTAATTGAAAGTAGTTTAGAGGCTGCTGAGGTCAAAGGTGGGTTAATGGGAATATTGACGTCTCCAAGAATTAGGGATGGAATATTAGAAGAGAGGAAGTAGGTTAGCCAGGCAGCAAAGTGGCTAAGGAAGAGGAGAGGGGAACCAGGGGGGCGATTAATATGTTAATGTTAGCAGAGGAGGGTTTGAAAAGGCGAATTTAATGAATTTCAAATGATAGTAAAGAGAAGGAAGGGGGTGGGCAGAGTTTTAAAGGAGCAGTGGGGTGAAAGGAGAAAACCTACAGCTTGTCTTGGGTTGTGGGTAAAGTGAAGACCACCAAAGGATAGTGAGGCAGGGATAGCAGTATCAGAGGGAGAGAGCCATGTTTCCATTAGTGCAAATAGGTTTAGGGAGTGTGAAATAAATAGGTCATGGATGGAAGTTGATTTAAAGGTGCTGCACACAGAGAGTGCATTCCAGAGAGCAGCTTTAAAGGAGGAATTATAGCGAGTGTTGCATGGATTGGATATTAGGTTGTTGTGGTTTCCGGTGTTAGCACCAGGTGGCTTAGTAGTGGTTTTTCATGATCTCACTTCTAGATTTTGTCTTTCAAGAACTTGGGGTTTATAGTTCTTCTAGGAGTATTGTTGAGCCATGGTGGATAATGGCAACTGGATAAATCTATATTACTGTTAATGTCGACTTTTTAAAAAAAAAAATGTTTTTTTGTTTTTAGAATATGATTATATACATATATCTCCAAATCTAAAAAATGTATCTTTCTAAAACTGTACTCCCTAGTTAAAACAATACCCCTATCATTAGAATTCAATAGTGTTATAAAACCTTTTAAAAGGTCCTCACTGCCCTTCCAAATAAAGAAAGTTTTGTCTATGTAACTGCGATAGAAAACCAAGTTTACACTCCAGACGCCATCTGTCTCCAGGAAAGAAACCTCCCAAAAAGATATAAACAAATTGGCGTTACTGGGTGCAAACTTGGTTCCCATTACATTACCCACCATCTGCAGAAAAAAAAACACCCATCAAACCAAAAATAGTTGTTACGTAAAATAAGATCTATACTATCCATAATAAAATTAAATTGAGCTGTAGGATACAAATTTTTAGTTAAATAGTGTTTCACCGCTTCACAGCCATTTTCATAGGCGATAATAGTATATAGACTGGTGACGTCACAAGTCACCAGAACGAGGTTCTATTCCTACTTGACTTCATCCAAGTCTTGTAGGAGTTGTGTAGAATCTCTCAAATATGTTGGTTGCGACATAACCAGGGGCTGCAGTTGTCTATCTACATATTCTGATAAGCGGCTTAATAAAGAATCTACCTCGGAGGCTATAGGTCTTCCTGGTGGGTTCACTGGATCTTTATGGACCTTCGGGATAGTGTAGAAAACTGGTATCTTACATGCTTGGATGTTGAGGTATTGGAATTTTTTAATATTTAGAATTCCTACTGATTTTCCCTTCTCCAAAAGATTATTATATATTACTTTAATTTGATCTGTGGGGTCTCCTGGTAATTTTTTATAAATAACCGAGTTGTCCAAATTTCTCCCCAGCCATTGTAAAAGTGGAGCTGTGCAAGTGTCTGAGACACTTGTGATGAAAGAAATTAAAAATATTCCAGATGGGAAGAACAAACCCACAAAAATGTTTTAAATCTAACCTAAATTATGCACAAAGAAATGCACTTAAAGAATTGAGTAATGATTCTAACCTAACCATCAAACCAGCTGATAAAGGGGGAGGCATAGTTCTTCAAAACAGAGAAGACTATGTTAAGGAAATATATAGGCAATTAAATGACTCGGTTACTTATAATAAAAAAAATACTTATAAAAGGAAGGATACTTACATCTATAAATATTGCACTGAAGAAGACTTTCAAGTCGAAACGCGTTTGCTGCGCTGTTATATTAGGACTTTATTGCGGTGGTGTATACTATTGCTTTTACACACTGCTTATATGTATGTCCTGTTTTTAAATATATATTTTTCAAATAAATACATTGAAATTATCCCTGCTTGCCTGCCTTGCCTGTGGACAACTATCCAAGCAAGTATTAGCACCATGAAGCTGACAATATAGAGCCTGGCACGGCTCTACATTTGTTTACATTTTATTGTTATTTTAACAGGTTACACTATGTATTGTTTTACTTATCTTTTAGAGATTCTCATACCTTGTACCATTACCAACAGTGGTACATTTTATGTGTTATATACCGTAAAGTATAAATATACATCTTTATCTTCTTCTTGACACTGGGTGTTGTGTATATTTAATAGTGGTTTTATCTCTATTTTTTTTTTTTTACTTATAGAGCAGGGTGCAGAACAGTGAAAAACTTACACATAAATATATATCCACTAGCCTTACAACTCTACTCCAATATTAAATAAATAACTATACACATGGTTATATTTTAACCTGTATTATGCATAGAGTCAGAGGGCTTAATTGTGCAGGCAAATTAGTATTAAGGATACTTGCCTCATTTTCAGATTATCACTTACCCACATTGTGTGGATTAAGTGCGCGTTTGTATATTGGTATTTGCAATATAGGGTTAAGCCCTTAGATACACCTGGAGTGTCTAACTGATGTTTCAGGTTCCAGGAAGCTGTTTTCCTGTAGCCTGCAAGTTTTCTGTTTCTGAAAATGTTTGCTCCTAGAAGGTTGGGGGCTGGCCACAAAACTAGGGACTGGGACACTATAGCGTTAGAAATGCAGATTTGTTCCTTTAACATAAGATGTAACTCTTCACCTACTGTTCCTCTATGTCATATATGCTTTGTTAGAATCAAATAGTATTAATACTTGTAACTGGTATTTGTGCATGTTTTTTTGCAGGAGCTCGTGTAAATGCTAAAGACAATATGTGGCTGACTCCTCTTCATCGTGCTGTTGCTTCGAGAAGTGAGGTTAGTTACTGAAAAATCCTGACAACACTGAAACATACAGAATTTTCACAAATTCAATACAGCTATTTCTGCCTTGTATTTTTATTTTGTTGAATTTTGGCAAAAAACTATCTGAGTTTAGTGGATAACACTGTATGATTGTAAAAGAAATGAAGGGGTTAGCGCTACTGAATGGCCGTGCACAGAATATTTTCAGACAGGGAAAATAAGACTTTATTCCTCAACGTTTATCTAATTCATCCTGTCCACCAGGGCTTCCTTTCTGGGTTCCTAAATGGTATCTCTTTTTTATAAAAGCAATATGGGAAATTGATTTAGTTAATATTGTATGTTATTCTATTCTGTTCCAAAAAAATGAAACTAAAAAAAGAAAATGTTACAAATAATAACGATTGAAGATTATGCTAGCTTTAGTGTATTTATAATCTTAATTTTAATAATGACAGGAGGCAAATGTTATATATATCTTTCTTTACTGAACTCAAAGCAGCAAAGAAAACTACATGGAAACAAAGAACCAATCAAAAACAAGTAAAGGAAATATGAGGTGAATCAGTCTTAAAGCACCTGCTTTTTCGTAATGCAAAACACAGGAACATAATGTCCAACAAAATAACAATATGTTTAAGTCGTCAACAAAGATTCAACGATGACCGATAAATCATAAAGACAGGCAACATGCCCAAGAAAGTTAAACCAAAACGACAATAAATGTACACAGGTTTAGCCACTGAAAGAGCTGGTCTACCCAATCCATAATGAGTGTAATTTTACTTGGGAAAAAAAACATGAATGCTAAATAGCATTAAGAGAATATGAAAACATCACTCATGCTGTAATAAACGGACTATGAATAATACATTACAAGACAGAGGAACATATGCCACATGAATACACAGCCACCTAAAAAACCAGCACCCAAAACTAAAGAAGCAACAAAGAAAACGCAAGAGAAAAAAAGAGTGAGAAAGAGTAAAAAAATATTCGCATCCTGCTCCTGTCCTTTCTAAAATTAAGATTATAAGTATAAACTTCATACATTGCATTTTTAACGCTGAACTAAAAGGCAACCGATGACGCAGCGAGGACTCAATACATGCCAGAGACAAAAGCGTGACTGAAATATCCCAAAAAGAATCATATTTGGGACCATAGGTGTGCGCACGGGGTGTGCACACCCTAATCCCCGCGGCACGCCTATGGATTGAGACCGGCAGGGGAGATCTCAGGATCTCCCCTGTCGGCTAATGCAGAGCCGGTACTCTCTAATCTTCCATGGGCCGGTGGGGAGATCAAAGATCTCCCTTACCGGCCCACAGCAGCATGGACGGAGGCAGGAGAGGACCCAGGAAACTCTAGCAAGCAGCTCCGCCAGGTTCCTCTCGCGAGATCTGAGCGTTGCCGCGGCAAAGCTCAGTTCTCGCGAGAGTGAACTCTAGCCACGCAGGCTAGAGTTCACTCTCCACTGGACCACCAGGGATGGCACATAGCAGCAAGGATCTCTCCTCCCTACATAAGGTAGGGGTGAGGGGGGATATTTACTAATCTGCCCCCACCTCCACCCCCACAATCCCTCCAAACATACAGCATCCTCATACACAGCACAAAACAGCACTCTCACACACAGCACACAAACAGCACACAAACACACACAGCACCCTTACAAACACACAGCACCTCACACACAGCACAATAACAGCACCCTCACAAACATACGACACCCACACAGAGCACACTAACAGCACCCTCACAAACACACGACACCCACACACACACACATCCCACAAACAGTACCCTCACACACTAACAGGAACCTTACAAAAACACACACAAACACCCTCACACACACAGCATACAAACAGCACCCTCACACACAGGATACAAACAGCAACCTCACACACAAACAGCACACTAACAGCACCCTCACAAACACATACACACAAACACCCTCACCCACATAGCACAATACCAGCACACTCACACACACATCACACTAACAGCACCTTCACACACAGCACCCTTACACACACACACACACACAGCACCCTCACACAGCACACACACAGCAGTGTATGTATGTGTGTGCGTATATATGTATATGTATATATATATATATATATATATATATATATATACACATACATATGTACGTACATACATACATACATATACATGCGGCGTGTGTTTGTGCTTTAGGGTGCACACCCTAATTCAATAGGGTGTGCACCCTAAAGCAGGGGTGCATACCCTATTGCAGGATGTGGGCAGCAGAGATGGCACAACACATACATTGTGATGGACCAACAGAAACACACAGCAGAAATAAAGATCTGACAGTTCAGAATAGCAGCGACAGGGGCAGTAGAGGGATCGAGATCTCATTCCATACAGCAGAAAGTCCAGGAACTCAAGGCAGACATATAACTGTCTTGTGCCTGGAGTACCACAGGAGATCTTTAGCTGTCTGCTATAATTTGCTGGCATGCCGTGATTCTGCTTCCCCGAAGTTACTTCCTGGTTCAGAAGTAAGCTCCTCCCATTCTGATAACACATCATTCATCTGCTTTATAAGGAAGCCGGGCCAAACTCACATTGCTGAGTTATTTTGAACCAACCTCAGACTCCACAAGGATCTCCCTTGTTTCTCTGCTACTACAGTATCGATTACCTACAAGGACTCCTGTATCAATTTGTTGCTGATCCCTACAATCTCTGCTACAAATACAGGACTCTCTGGAGAAACCTTAAAGGATCACTATAGGGTCAGAAACACAAACATGTATTCCTGACCCTATAGTGTTAAAACCACCATCTAGCCCCCCCTGGGCCCCTCATGCCTCCATAAATATAGTAAAAACCTTACTGTATTCAATCCTGAAGCTGTAACTCTGCGTGCTGTTAGACTCAAAAAAACAAGCTGTCTGCTGACATCATCAGAAGTGGTAGCCTGATCCAATCACAATGCTTCCCCATAGGACTGGCTGAGACTGACAAAGAGGCAGATCAGGGGCACAGCCAGCATGATTCAAACACTGCCCTGGCCAATCAGCATCTCCTTATAGACAGGGCCGGTGCTTGGATTTTTAGGTACATAGGCGAAGATGCATTTTTCCGCCCCCCCCCCTAAAATCTTCACCTATGTGCCTCTTAACCAGCCCCTCTCCCCTCCCCGACCATTAGTGGTCCCTTCCGTTCCCTGTCCCTTAGTGTTCTTCTCCCCTCCCCCCTTTCCCCCTCCCCCCTTTTTTCCCTGTCTCTTGGTGTTTCTCTCCCATTCCCTCCCTGTCCCTTGGTGCACCCCCCACCCCTTTAGTGGTCACACTTCCTGGTGTGTGCCTCCTACCTCTATTATTGCATTGCCGAGCGGAGCAGATCCCCTAAAGGAGCTTCAGTTTTCTGTACCCGGACGGACTGACAGGGAGTGCTCTCTCTGTGAGCACCTCCTGTCAGTCTGGCCAGGTACAGGAAACAGAAGCTCCTGTACCGCGCTCTGCTCCACTACACTCTGTACACACTGACAGTCACACACTCAATGACAAACACACAGACGTCACTGACAGACACAGACTCATTTATCTGACACACACTCATTCATTGACACTGACAGACCCACACTGATTGACACTCATTGACAGACACACTGATAGTCACACACAGACTCAATGACAAACATACTCTCACTGATTTGACAGACACACACTCATACACTGACAAACACACTCATCATACACTGACAGACACACTCATACACTCACATGCACACACACTCATACAATCACTCACAGACACACAGACAGTCACTCACTCACAAACGCACACAGTCACTCACAGACACACACCGAAGCACACAGTCACTCACAGACACACACACACACACACACTGTCACTCACAGACACACGCTCAGTCACTCAGACACACACACTCATACAATCACTCACTCACATACACACACACTCACACACAGTCACTCAGACACACATGCTGTCACTCACAGACACACATGCTGTCACTCACAGACACACACAGTCACTCACAGACACACGCTCAGTCACTTAGACACACACACTCATACAATCACTCACACACACACTGTCACTCACAGACACACGCTCAGTCACTCAGACACACACATGCACACACACTCATACAATCACACACTGTCACTCACAGACACACACGCTGTCACTCACAGACACACACAGAGACGCACACAGTCATTCATGGACACACACACTGTCACTCACAGACAGACACACGCTCAGTCACTCACAGACACACACACTGTCACTCACAGACACACACACAGACACACACTGTCACTCACAGACACACACACACAGACACACACACTGTCACTCACAGACACACACACACACACTGTCACTCACAGACACACATCACATACATTCACTAATAATTTTATAAATAAACATTTTCCACCCAGCCTCCCTACCTGGAGAGCTGGTGTGGATGCTGGATCGGTCCCTGAGGGCTGGGGCTGCTGAGAGGCGCGCGGCAGTGCTGTGATCAGGCGCGCGGCAGTGCTGTGATCAGGCGCGCGGCAGTGCTGTGATCAGGCGCGCGAGGGAGCTCTAATCTCCATCCTCTGCTCCCTCGCGGGCTGCCTGATGACGTCATATTCCGGCTCCCGCGGCATCAGTAGGCAGCGCGCGAGGGAGCAGAGGGTGGAGATTAGAGCTCCCTCGCACCTGATCACAGCACTGCCGCGCGCTGCGCCGGGGGTCGAGATGGTGGCCTGGCAGGAGGGAGAGCTTCCCTCCTGCCGGTCACTGAAATATTGCGCCCCCAGAGCCCGTGCGCCCTAAGGCGGCCGCCTGTGCCGCCTTATGGACGCGCCGGCCCTGCTTATAGAGATGAATTGAATCAATGAATATCTATGAGGAAAGTTCAGTGTCTGCATGCAGAGGAAGGAGATACTGAATG